GATGGAGCCTTTCAGCTGCTGGGCACACTGAGGGCACTCTTGGTTCTGTGCATGGCATCTGCCTGCAGCCAGTACCTGATCTCAGAGGTTTACTGCCCAGCTGCAATGCCAGGGTGGGCTGGGACGGTGCTGGACATCCCTCATCAGCCCCATGGCTGGAGGAGTTAGACAGGATGCTGGGCTTGTGGCTAGTACACGAAAGGATAGATAGATCCCTTTGTGTGTTTGCAGACCTTGTGCAGAGCTCCTCTCCTTCCCTGTCAGACCAACTGCAGGTGGGCTGCGAGGAGGCAGCGTTGGGAGCGCTGAACGTGGAGTGCAGGGTCTGCGGAGACAAAGCCTCGGGGTTTCACTACGGCGTGCACGCCTGCGAGGTGCAGAGGTTAGACCCCAGGGAGCACGCTGTCTCTTCAGACAAGCAGGTTTGCAGCAAAGCAGGGATGCAGGATTGAGGGATTGTAAAAAAAAATATCATTTGCAACCTGTCGAGAGAGTGCAGAGCACACAAATTTGCCAGCACATAAATACTGTCCTGGGGGATGCCTATGGCCCAAATCTTGCCCCATCATCCTTTATTCAGAGGTTAGACCCCAGGGAGCACGCTGTCTCTTCAGACAAGCAGGTTTGCAGCAAAGCAGGGATGCAGGATTGAGGGATTGTAAAAAAAAATATCATTTGCAACCTGTCGAGAGAGTGCAGAGCACACAAATTTGCCAGCACATAAATACTGTCCTGGGGGATGCCTATGGCCCAAATCTTGCCCCATCATCCTTTATTTAGTCAGACAAATCTGTCTATCCCCACAGAGACCCTGTTTTTGCTTTTAAAGATGCTTTGTGCTGCAGATCAGCAGTGAGCTGTGTGTTTATCCCCCTGGGATCACTGACTGCAGTTTGGATTTGCCTCTGAAATTCTTTCCCCCACAGCAGATGCCAGCAGGGCTGTGTTAGTAGCCCAGCTCCTGCCAGACATTCCTGCAGGCTGGGGCTGGCCCGAAGCTTGTTCCTCCATCCCTCTCTGCTGGCTGCTGGCAGTATCACACACACTGCACCACGGGCTGTCCTCCACCGTCCCTCCTCTGCAGCCCCCTTCTCCCACCCCACCACCTCTCCTTGAGACAGTGACTCTGCTTGTGAAAGAGACCCAGGGCTTCTCCTCACCACCCAGCTGAACCTCCATGAGGCTCCTGGGGATAATCACAGAATCCCAGAATTGCCTGGACTGGAAAAGCCCTTTAAGATCACCGAGTCCAACCATGAACCCAACACTGACAAGTCACCAACTAACCCATGTCCCTCAGCACTGTGTCTACACGACTCTTCAATCCCTCCAGGGATGGGGACTCCACCACTGCCCTGGGCAACCCCTTCCAATGCCTCAGAACCCTTTCAGCAAAGAAATTCTTCCTCACATCCCATCTCAACTGCCCTTGGTGCAACTTGAGGCCATTTCCTCTTGTCCTGTCAATAAATAATGAACCAGCCTGGACTCAAACCCACAGGTGCTGACACTGCTGTTCCCTTGTCCCCCTGCTCCACGTCCCCCTCTGTGCCACCTGCCTGCAGGGTTTCTTCCGCCGGACGATCCGCATGAAGCTGGAGTACGAGAAGTGTGAGCGGAGCTGCAAGATTCAGAAGAAGAACCGGAACAAGTGCCAGTACTGCCGCTTCCAGAAATGCCTCTCGCTGGGCATGTCGCATAACGGTCAGTGTCACCGCTGTCCCCAGGCCTGGCCGGCTGGGTGCCAGGATGTCTGCCCTTCTGTGAAGGGTTGGCACGAGGAGGCTGTATGCAGCTTGCTTTATCCTGTGGCTCTCTTCTTGCTAGGGGATCATCTTGCAAACCCAATGCTTCGAGCCTTTGACTCTTCACCCCCTTTTTCTATACGAGGAGGGGCTGTCCATTACCCCCGTGCAGGCTGGCTGTTGTCACATGGTTGTCCCTTATGGGTTTGACACACAGATTGCTTTTCTGTGCTGGGATATTTAAACTTCAAGTGTAACCATCTTGTTCTTGACCAAGCAAAGGTGTTTATGGAATCACAGACTGGTTTGGGTTGGAAAGGATCTTTCAAGGTCTCTGGTCCAACCCCCCTGCAGTGACAGGGACATCTTCAACCAGATCAGGTTGCTCAGAGCCCCTTCCAACCTGACCTTGAATGTTTCCAAGGATGTGTCTTCTACCGCCTCTCTGGGCAACCCTGGCCATGGTCTCACCACCCTCAATGTAAAAAATTTCTTCCTTACATCTAATCTAAATCTCCCCTCTTTTAGTTTAAAACCATTTCCCCTTGTCTTAGTGCTACAGGACCTGCTAAAAAGTTTGTCTCCATCTTCTTATAGGCTCCTTCAAGTATTGAAAGGGCACAATAAGGTCTCCCCAGAGCTTTTTACATGGGAAGCAGAGTTTGTGCAAGAGCCCAGAGTGGTGGGGATGGGAGGTTGGTGTGAGGCTGTGTTGGCAAGGACAGCAGTAGTGGCTGGTTCGTGCTGGTGTTGATGCCGGAGGAGCTGCAGCCCTGGAGAAGCATCATGTTGCGTAGCTGAGGTGTTCACCAGCAGACCTCTGTGCTGGCAGAGCAGACTGCTGCCTCCTTGGACACATCTCCTGGGGTCACCCCCAGTGTCCTGACCCTCTGGTTTTGCCTCCCTGCAGCAATCCGCTTTGGCCGCATGCCGGAGGCAGAGAAGAGGAAGCTGGTGGCAGGACTCACGGCGAGCGAGATCAGTTGCCAGAACCCTCAGGTGGCTGACCTGAAAGCTTTCTCCAAGCACATCTACAACGCCTACCTGAAAAACTTCAACATGACCAAAAAGAAGGCGAGAGGTATCTTGACTGGGAAGGCCAGCAGCACCCCAGTAAGTTTCCTCCCTAGGGCAAGGTGGGGTTGGTCATGAAACAACCTGGGGGGCTGTTCTCCGGGAGATGCTGCACGTCTCCCTCCTGCTGTAGATGTTCCACATGCACCAGTTCCTGCCTGCAACTGGGTGGGCTCTACACATCCTGCCCCTCGTTGGGATAATTCCCATCACTCTGCAGATTTGTGCTGTTGTGGGTGGATGCAGATCACCCAGGCACTGACAGGGAGACAAATGTGTCCTTGGTGGAGATGGCATCTCAAGGTCCCACAGCAGGTTCCTAACTGCTTGTTTCTTTTTCAAGCAGCCTTTTGTGATCCACGACATGGACACCTTGTGGCAGGCAGAAAAGGGGCTGGTCTGGAAGCAGCTAGTGAATGGCATTCCCCCCTACAAGGAGATCGGGGTGCACGTCTTCTACCGCTGCCAGTGCACCACGGTGGAGACTGTGCGGGAGCTCACCGAGTTCGCCAAGAGCATCCCCAGCTTCATAGACCTCTACTTGAACGACCAAGTGACTCTGCTGAAGTACGGGGTGCACGAGGCCATCTTCGCCATGCTGGCCTCCATCATGAACAAGGATGGGCTGTTGGTGGCCAATGGGAACGGCTTTGTGACCCGGGAGTTCCTCCGTAGCCTGCGCAAACCCTTCAACGAGATCATGGAACCCAAATTCGAGTTTGCTGTGAAGTTCAACGCACTGGAGCTGGATGACAGTGACCTGTCTCTGTTTGTGGCTGCCATCATCCTGTGCGGAGGTGAGTGGGCACTCTTGGCCATGTGAGTGTCAGGAAGAGTCCTCCTGTACCTAGAGGCGGTTTGGGGTGGGCTGGAGGAGCCAGGCGTGTCTTAATGGGGTGGGAGAAGAAATGAAACCAAAGCTTCTCCATGGCAGTGACACTCAGCAAGCTTGGACCAAGAACGAGGAGCGTAGAAGTGGCATCTTCTCATGTGCTGCTGTGGGATATGTTGTCCAAGGGCACGCTTCTCCCCTTGTCTAGTTGATGAGGTTGGAGTCACGGTGGGTGGGTTACAGTCCCCATCTCCCTTTCCCCAGGAGGAGCACTTGCTTTGGAGGGCTACACCATCATATTACAGCTACTGTGCTTCCTCTCCACAGACCGTCCTGGCCTCATGAACGTGAAGCAGGTGGAGGAGATCCAAGACAACATCCTGCGAGCGCTGGAGTTTCACCTGCAGTCCAACCACCCGGATGCCCAGTACCTCTTCCCTAAGCTGCTGCAGAAGATGGCTGACCTGCGGCAGCTGGTGACAGAGCACGCCCAGCTGGTGCAGAAGATCAAGAAGACAGAGACAGAGACATCTCTGCACCCGCTTCTGCAGGAGATCTACAAGGACATGTACTAAGGACCTGTTATTTATGCAAATGAAGCCATGGATTCCCATCAAGACTCTTTGTACAGAAACAAAGAAAACCTTTCCCCGTGTCTTCCATTTCTTCTACTGGAAACTCTTTTCTACCTGACCCTGACGTACGGTACACAGGGCAAGATGCCCTCAGATTTTGCAGCCACCACCTGCTAGGCCAGGGCTTCCGTTAACACACACTAACAAATGTTCCAAGGCAAACCATAAGCTACTGTTTCCGTTACTACAGCCCAACTCTTCACCTGCTCCCCAGGGGCCTCTGGAGCAGCCGGCTGGTTTAGGTGGCCAAGGACACTGAGGTTCCTCTGGAGCTTGGGAACGGTGGGGGATGCTCTGGTTCTTAGGAGACCTGAGCGTGGTGCAGGTGTTGGTGGGGCCAACAACAGCACTTACAGCCTGTCTTTTGTTTTCTTTTTTATATTGCACTCCGAAGATGATGTCCTGAGCCGTGGAGTCCAGGACAGTGTGATGAAAGGCTGTTTCTCTCTTTCCCAAAGAAAAGACAGAGTATTTGAAGACGGGTAGGGCTGTCCTAGCAGAGCCCCTCAGCTGCAGCCCCCCCCGCTCTGCCGTGTACTCCTGTCTCCCAGAGGGATCGTGTGATCTCTGCCTTCGCCCGAGTGCCGTGTGGGAGCCCTTGCTCCTGGTCCCCCTGTTTCAGAGGGACCCTGCTCCTCAGCACCTCAGTATGAGAGAGGGAGGGATGGGGAGGTGGGAGGGAAAAGGTTTGACTCATAAAAATTCACCTTTAAAGCAGAGGCCAGCATCTGTTTGCCTCCCCAGGCTGGTCTGAGCAGATATGAGTTACTAAAAAGGTCTGTGCAAGGCCAGGAGCATCCTGGGGCTGGTCGAGGTGTGGTGGGGGACCCTGCTCCTCAGCACCTCAGTATGAGAGAGGGAGGGATGGGGAGGTGGGAGGGAAAAGGTTTGACTCATAAAAATTCACCTTTAAAGCAGAGGCCAGCATCTGTTTGCCTCCCCAGGCTGGTCTGAGCAGATATGAGTTACTAAAAAGGTCTGTGCAAGGCCAGGAGCATCCTGGGGCTGGTCGAGGTGTGGTGGCAGGGCTTGCAGCTTGTCCTCCCGCTCCCTTCCCC